TAAGTTGAAGGACCATCAGCCGGTTGATCTGAATGTTTGTATCTCGCAGTTGTGAAATGATCTGGGCATCCAAAGCAACGAGGCCCAACAGGATCTGAATCCATCGCGATGTCGTCGTCGAGAGACAAAAACTGTACAGGAATGGGAGGCTGAGCTAAGTTGAACTAGCCGAGCTGCAAGTACATCAAAATGCATCAAAATGGAGGTAACAAAGCGGTCAAAAACGCCCAAAAAAACTCATCCGGTTCAACAAAAGGAAGACCATTCAATAGTGTTTCGCATGGATGCAGTGAAACGATGAATTAGACGGAATAAACTGGTCTGTACACAATATTGGCGATGCTTCAGTGGTCGAGAGTTTGTCATGTGTGGCAAATATTCAAGCAAAGTGTGCATTGCTGGCGACTGATCTTGTTTTTGCTGCGCGTGTGGAAGAAAGCTGTAATGATGTGTTGTGGGTTGGAGTCTATTGCTCGCAACTGCTGGTACGACAAAAAGCAATAAGCCAATATGTAAATATGTACGAATTGACAATAAAATACAGTACAAAGGCATCAATAGTTCGTGATGTTCTTCAGCACCAAGAAGTCGTGGAAAGCAATGTCTGGACGATCATAGACTGCTGTTGTGTATTCTATGTCTCTTTGTCGGTGAGATCCGGAGGTTCTGTAGTCATCGTACTGGCATCTTTTGTGGTTGGAGGAGTTGCCTCTGCTTGTTGAGATGCCTTATGTGGCGATGATGCTTCTGCTTCTGGACTGTCTTGCTGTTGAGGTGTATAAAGAATTCGCAAGACTTGCCATCGACCTTTGCAGTCAAAAGGTGTTTTGTTGAGTGCTTTTGCTATGTATTTCCAACTGGGGCGAGATCGTTTGTTGAGTTTAAAGGCCGCAAGTTTCTCATCTTCACTGGGTTCCCATCCTCCATTGTCAGGATAGTGTGGTGAATCCGTGAGGAGGTGTGCTGGTTTTGATGGTGGTACTGGTGATGCAGGTGGTAAAGGCGTGGGCAGTGGCGGATTCGGTGGAACTGGTGATGTTTGTGGAGGTGTATTGGGGGAACTGGTGAGAGAAATCGTTGTGATTGGTGGTGTACGCTGTTTCTGGAGGTCTGTATTGTTCTTGTGTTGGTGAGTCGCTTTGGACTTGTGGCGGTGTGGTGAAAACTGATGTGGTGAAGTGGGGGTATGTGAAGGAGATGGTTCTGGTTTGCATTCCATGAATGGTTTGCCTTTGGCGGGAGGCGGACTGCGGCTGCGTGAGAAAGACGGCTGTGGTTGCAATGGAGGAGGAGTGTGCCTGGCTGGTCTTGGGGGAGAAGGTGGAGTGGTAGTGAGTGGGTGATGTGCTTGCTGTGGTAGTTGCGGTGTAAATGGTGGAAGGTTTTGAAAAGTAGTAGCAATGGAGGTGGCTGCTTGAAGGTGTGCTAAAAGAAGCCGATGGGCAAATGCCGTGTCCAAAGGGGAAGTCATCGTCGTGGTAGTCGTCGAGAGGCAAATATAGCTCGGCGGTCGTCAGGGATCGAGCTCAATATTCAAGATAATACAAAATGGCTGCGGGGCAAGTTACAAATCACAGGAGATCTTGCGACTCTCTTCGAAATGCTTGTGACTCTCTTCGAAAAGCTTAATAACAACCAGGAAAGTTGACATGCTGCAAGTCTGGAAAATTGGAAAAGTCACCGTAAAAAAGATCATGTTGTCGGCATCAATCTGTACAGGAATGATATATCGGAAGAAAAGGAAGTTGACAACGATGTGTGCGAAAATCAGAGTCAATATCAATATCAAGCAGGCTGGCTGAGATTGTTTGAGGCTAGGTCGTCATCCAAGATACGGGGTGAAAAATGAACCTCGTGAGCGGAATAGATTGAATTAAATGAAACTGAGCGGTGGCTTTGCATCGCTTTTCCAAGCTATCCCTTCAATTCTGGAATGTTTGGGATGGGCCACCCAGCATTTTCCTGGGGTGTATTTTACAATCCCCTCTCCTTTGAGCAGCAAGTCATTCGCTGCAGATTCGCCACCATGGGTGACTTTCTGGCCGTGTCCATAGGCTTTGATCGTCAGAATGAGACCGCTGCGGTTCTTGGCCATGTTGGAAGCATTGAAGAGGACGCGTGCAGCTTCAGCAGCATCATGAGGCTCGTAGTTCGACAATTCGAAAGCCTGACAAAAATATCCCACATTATGAGCATCATGCAGAATGGATCGCACGAGTTCTCCTGCTTCAAGTATTGAAATGATGTTGCCCTCCTCGCTCACATGTGCCGCAAAAATGTGTTTGATAGGTGGTATGTTCAGCGCCTCTCTCCGTGTAGGAGGAAGAATCGGGGCGTCGCCCCTGCTCGCTAAGGTGGGGATTGTGAGTAGTAGGAAGGAATAATGTTCTTCTTTGTTGGTTTCCTCGCACCATTTTTTGTGGGTGAGAAGTTGTAGGTCGGTAAAGTGGGTGCTGTTGAGATGAGCTGCACTGAGCACTTTGGCCACGTATGAAAGCATGGGTTCATTCTTGACATCAAGTGCTTGTGCGTAGCGGTTGAGCCATTGAAAGACATCCAACTGTGCTGGATCGGTTGGTGGGTGGAATGTTGGAGGAGGTAAGTTGTGAGGTCGACGTTGGACTGGAATTGCAGGTATTGGTGCTGGTGGTGGTGGTGGAGGTGTCTGTTGTGTGGAGTGTTTGGGAGTGAAATGTGGGTTGGGCTTGAGTGTAATGCTGGAAGTACGGCGAGGTGGCTCAGGAGTGTGTTTTGCAGTAGCAGCTGTAGTGATGTTGTGGATGGAAGTGTGAGCTTTGTCTTGGGTGATTGCTGGTGATCGTGATGTTTGTCTGTCCGCAGGTTTGGATTGAGCCTGAGAACTAGCCACGGATTGTGTGGCGGAGCTTCGACGTCTTGGTAATGGAGAGCGTGTGGTACGTAGTGATCGAGTGCGGCTCCTGGATCTGGATGTAGCTTGTGATGGTGCAATAGAAGGTACGGCTGGAAAGGCTGAATAGCGGTGGTGTTCAGGTGTGCGTGGTGGTGAGCGATCTGGGTCACGCCAAATGCCTCTTGTAGTGCTGAGTGTGGGTGCAATGGATGGTGTTGGCTTGGTAGTGCGTGGTATGTGGTGTGGTGGCGGAGGCTGTGCGGGTGTGTTGATGGATGCTGAAGCAGGTTGAGTAGTCGCTGGTGAGGTTGTTGAAGTGTGAGGTGGTGGTGGTGGAGTTGGTGTGGTCAACTGCTGTGAAGTGATAGGTGTTGGATCAGGTGGTGGTGCTTGTAGTACATCAGGTGCTTGTAGTGGTGGTGGTTGAAAAGATGTTGTGGCAGGGGTTTGAGTTGTCGTGTGTGGTGATGGAGGTAGTTGATGTGGTAGATGTGGTGGATGTGGTTGATGTAGTTGATGAGGTGGTAGTTGAGAGTGAGATTGAGATTGAAGTGGCAGTGTAAGATGCGTGTGAGCTTGGGATTGTGGTGATTGAGTTGTGAGATGTGGATGTTGTTGCGCAAGTTGGGTAGTGTCGAAGGGAGCCGTAGGTTGCACTGGAAAATGTGCCTGAAGTTGATGTGGTTGGATGTATTGAGTATGAGGTGGAGGTGTAATGGGCAGTGGGTAGTGATGTGAGGTTGGGTGTTGCGGTGGAGTGGGTGGCAGTGTTGAAAAAGGTTGTGGTGAAGCCTGTGGTGGAAATTGAATCCAATGAGGTTGTGCAGGTTGTGGTTGTGGATGGATGTGTGGCGGCAAAGAATAGGGCCAGGGATACGTCATGGCTGCTCGGCAGGTCAAAGACAGTGAGAATATGTATGTATGTAAGAAAATAAATACATAAATAAATAAAGGTCCGTGAGGTCGGAAAATTGTAAAGTGTACTGAATAACCGCAATTAAAATTCTGGAAAAAGGAGTTAAAACTTGGAATGTTAAAAAGATTTGAAAGGTTAAAAGATTGGAAAGGTATGAATGGATTTTCCGGGTGAAACTCTTTCAGTTAACTCTGCAGTGGGATTCAGAAAGGATTTCAGTGAACTCTGCAGTAATCTTCACGTGTGCTGGGTGAGACAATCCAAGCTGATTTCGAGCAGGTCAAGTTCAATCTAAAGGACTTCAGAGAAAATTCAGGAAACTTACTCCCTCGGTGAGGAGTGAACAGGTTCTTGCGGTAACGGCGCCCCGTAGGGATCACACAGCTCACCACAGTGGGAAGAAGCTGCGAAGACACACTTGAGAAGGTTGCTCCGTGGAGCGTGATTTCAGGTAGCTTCGCGGTGTGCATTAGCCCTTTAAATCTAGATACTGCAGGAAACAACGTATGAGACAGCGTTGCACTGACTTAGAAATCTCAGCGACTAAACAGTGGAACAGCTTGAAAACAGTTCACATAGCAGGTACAGGAATGTGCGTCCACATTCCCTTCCGGCTGAATCCCATAGCTTCGTTGGCATGGCTAGGGAAACAGCTGCCATGCCCCCTGCTTCTGTACAAAAAGCTTGTAGGGTAGATTAGAAAAACTAGGGTAGTGTCCTTGGAAACAGGAGTGGACACACACACACACACACACGGGACTGCTTTTGGAGAGGGCATTCACTTCTCTATATTTATTTGAGGAGAGCTACCTAGCTCCAATATTTCTATATATTTGTGTGTGTGATGCAGAATGGTCGAAACCAAACCTTGAGAGTCCATAGAGTCGGCTGAAAGCTGTTGTTCCTACAGGCTTGTATGCTTCCTGTGCCTGCTCTTTGGAACTCACGAAGCAGTTTCGACAAGGGCCACCAGCTTTTGGACCCAGTTTGAGGTCGAAATTCCAGGCCTCACTGGACTTTCTCTGACGAAGTTGTGTCATGTCGTGTCTACATTTGCCTACTCTATCCCGGGCCCACTATATCCCACTCTTTTCTTGTCAGATCACGGTATTCCAACCGCGCGAGGGAGACCAACAAACTAAGCTCACAAGAGACTGAAACTACACAACCATCCCAAGATCTTCACCATCCTTCCGCACATCCGACCCCAAGGCTCAGTGGTGCTGAGCTGGTGGACGGCGACTCCGGCTCTCCACGCATCGCAAGGCCACGCTCTCCGGAGGCAGAGGAGGCAGAAGCAGAGGGCGCGAAGGTGAAGTTCACCAAGGCCCAAAGCAGAAGGATGCACCAGAGGCCTGGGAGGGCAGGATGGACGGAGTTGGATGTACCGTGATGATCGTGATGTACCTGATGGGGTCATGTAGTAGATGCCGAGGGGTGGGATGGCAACGGCCAGGTTGGAAAGATACAACGTGCGTGTGTGTTTTGATTGGATGGTGGCAGATGTGCTGGGAAGGGCAGGTGGTAGAAGAGGCGCAGGCGCAGATCCATGACCAGATTGCAAGTCTTCAGTATGCACTGGCATGGTCAGTCAAAACATTTGGAAACCGTCGTGTTTTCCATTTCTTGGGTCAGTTGTCCACAACAAAATTGTATACATACAGTATATATGCATACACGGACACGTTGTTGATCGGGCTTCTAATTTATCCCAGATTTCCCACGACTTGTCCTGAAGAACTCCCCGCCTCCTCCGCATGGGCGACCAGCCGCGAGGCTGCGGGAGCATCGTCACCGCGTGAAATGCTACGAGGGCCGGGCTCGGAACGAGATCCCCGGGAGCCACCCGTCGGCGGGCACCACGATCTACAGTTCCGCGCCCTTCATCACGTAGCTTTGGTATGTGACTCTCATACGGTTGGGTCCCGGCGAGTTTGGATCCTGCGGGTGCTCCAGGTGATGCCATGCAGGTGATTAAACAAAACGAAAACACACTGGAAAATACATGACTCTTATGATGACATACTGACATACTGTACAATCACCGGTACAAGCACAAATGTTGGATCAGGTGTGCCCCACATGGAGCGTTTGGGTAGTCGTTTGGGCATGTTTGGGCACAACTCTTTAACACCTGAGTCGGGGAGCGGCCATGAATCCTTTTCACGATGCCATGAGAGACGGAAAACGATTTGCTGGCCAGACCACCATGATCGCACCCCATGAACACAGCTGATGGTGCATTTGTCTTTGGCCAAAGGGCCTTTAGGACGATGTAGGCATTTGTTCAGTACCCGAAATAAACCTCGTTGAGATCTCTAAAGGGGGCATGATACGACGCATCACGATGCTCATCCCTTTTTGATTTTGCAATGACATCCTTTGCTCCAAAATCTTGGGCAGTTGAACGCGTATTAACAAACACCTCCCCAAGGTTTGCAATGTGGGGGTAGGTCAGAAAAGTGCAATTCGACATAATTCGACCTCTATTGGGCGGGGGGGTCAATCAGGAGAGGCCCCAAAGACTAAATCTCTTCATGAGGAGGCATCCCCAAGACTAAATCGGATGCCAAATTGGTTAATTAGGCAATTTAATGAACTGTGGCCCAAGAGCAAGAGAAGGAGAGTCCGGCGAGAAGGATGAGGCTGAAGACATGGAAGGAAGAGCCATTGGAAGAGACGCAGGATTCCACACCTAGACAGTTGGTGTCAATGAGGAGTTCACATTCCTTGCAATCACTACTACATTTGGTCTGGGAAGTGGCGGCCCAAAGAAAGGTAAGAAAGGCTGTTAGCATTGAAGCAAAAATTGCATCAAAAACGGTGGTGCAACATGTTCAAGTGTTGGGCCAGGAGGTATCTTCAAGGCATTTCGTATTGGAGGTCCCGAGGCGGACCAAACTAATAGGGTATGTTAATCCGGGTGTTAATCCTACGTTCACATTAGATCAAAGAAATGCATGAGATGTTTAAAATGGCCATCACCAGTTAGGCGTTGTGCCACCTATTCTTGTGCCAGTAGTTGTGTTGGAGACGTTTCGTGTCGGGCGTTATTGGGCCTTGATTGTTACAAGAGAACTTGTGGCCTCCCACCATCCGACTGTTTACGACCGCGCTTGAGCTTGAAGGAGCATGACTCTTCCCTGGCCCTAGTTCTTTCTCCACAAGCAACACCGAGTGCGGTCGTGTTGTCCTGTTGCCAGAAACTTCCATATTTCTCTCGGCGTTTTCATATATATATATATATATCATTATATATCCATTTCCAATTCAGTAGCCTCGTTCGGGGTTGTTTCTTTGGCGCCTCCGCGCAGTGGACACCGGATTTGCATGGACGATTTGGTGGGACTAAATGAGGCAGACCGGGAGCAAGAACCCTTCAACTCGGCAGAAGAGCAAACCCTTCTTGATGCAGAGCCACTAGGAGAAGAGTCTGTCAGGCTGCAGGAATGGGAGTTGACCAGGGGCATATTTTAAGGGGGAGAACAGAAGAACGTCCATGTACAAGGTTGCTTTCGAATACTTTTTTAGATTTTCAACCAGACAAGCGGTGAAGACAAACCAGACAAGCTAGTTGGGGTGTCGACCATTGGACCTAGTACCCATTGGAGGCCCGAATTGGTTCGGCAATGTTTGTGACGGAACATGAATTTGCTGTCATTGGCCCACATCCAGAATCATCCAATTGGGTTCTCTTCCAGTCCCCTCCGTCCAGCCACAATCGCCGGCGAAACGGAATGTGAGCGACAGTTCGTTGCAGAAGCGCTCAGAGGATTGCTTTTGTGTGTTTCTTCATGCTTTGCACCACCATTCTTAAGAAGACCAGACGGGTCAGAACGAGTTGCTCTGCATGTTCTTAGGAAACTTCCCATCTCACACCCTAAACGAACATCTTCTTCAAACGAATTCATTAACAAAACCCCTTTCTTTGCGTTGAGCTTCCTCTCCCAGGCCGTGTTTTATGTCCGGAGATGCCGGAGTGGCTCTTGGTGGCTGAGGGCTCAAAGAGGAGCGAAGCAGAGCGAAGCAGCGTCTGACGAAGCGGGGAAGCGGCAGAAGAGAATGAAGAGATGGGTCGATGGGTTTGGAGGTCTCAGAAGTATCTGAGGTGATGGACTGTCCACATATGTTCATAATTAAAGGTATATATATATATATATCAGTTTATATATTATATAAGTATATTATATAAGTATATATACAGTATATATATACTTTTCTGTAATGCTTTATGAGTCCGACTTGGTCCGACCAATCTCCGAACGATCAATCTTTGGAGTCGATGGGTCGATAGGCCTCGGAGGGTCGGAAATGGTCGAAAGCAGCCCAGGAACGTTCGCATCCGGAACGTTCGACCCGAAAAAGGGGATGGCGACCAACATCGAAAGGAAAACCGAACACAGTCGATGCCCGAGACACGGTCTCACCCTGTTTTGGTGTTTCTGTCGAGACACGGTGCATTCCAGGATTCCAAGCTTGGGAGATTTGGGAGTATCCCCTCATCCTCATTTTCCCGGTTTCTTGTTTCCCACCAAGCGGGTACGTGGCCGGAGCTGTGGAGGATGCCGCTCTTGCCGGAGAAGTTGGACTTGAGCTTTCCCTTAAAGCCACAGCAGCCGGGCAAAGGAGGCTGTTCGTGCGACATGGGTGGGCTAACTTATTTGGATTGTCTTTTCTTCTTTGAGATCTTGGAGTTGTGAATACTTATACTTCTGTAGTCATGCATGCTATATTGGGCACATCTTTGATTTGTTATACGGTATACGCTTGGCCTATATACCGTGCCTAAGGAAACAAAGCCATCAACACAAGTGGGCAGGATTTTCCGACCGATGCGTTGTCGTACAATTCCATCAGTCGGACCTCCGATGTGTTGCCCTGGTCGTTCATCACGTGAGCCATGCAAGAAACCTTTCAATTTGCACTAAGAAATGGCCCTTGCCTTGCATCCGAAAAAAAGGACCGTCGAGTAAGTGTTTCACTTGGGACTACGCAATGGATGCGTCAATTTGCGCAAGGTCTTCGGGGACAACCTTTGCACGAAAGCACGCGTTGCGTTCGCGTAAGCAATGCGTCAGAAGGAGCATAATAGACGACGCAGGGGTCAGATCATACGCATCTTGCAGAACTCATGTGTATTCCATGTCCCTTGGACCACAACATGGCCATGGCAGAATCTTGATGGCCTTTTTCTCTTAATCAAATGACTCGAATGGCGGTATCATGAGTTATCAAAAAGGACTGGAGCAATTCAACAGCCTTGACGGACAATGTCTCCCGGCATTGCCCTTACAAGCAACCATAGATACTGGTGGCATACCCCCAGTTCATCCCTCATTTTGTGGACTATCCATGGCTGACCATCCAGGTTGGTTGAACTAACTGTAACTAACTGGTACATATGATATATGACTGGAGGCACCTTTGCAGGGTGACCCGGCATGACCTTCATTCCAATTCATTCACATGCCACATGCATCTTCGACGGGCGGCTCCCTCCGACCCACCTCAGAAGTGGGCCTAGGGAAATATCCAGCAACAATACCAACACAATCCAGAAATGGATAGATCAGTATACAGTATATCGATATATATATCGATATAGTAATTATCTAAGAGTAGCTGTTTGTGACTCTTTGAAGGGTACCTCTTCTGCTGTCTCAATGGTCCCTGATCACCCCTGCAAAAGTCCTATCAATCCTCACCTTGACATGTCAGGGAAACAGTGGGGAATGAGTGGGTTTTGTGCAGGATGTTGCAGGATTGCCTGGGCCTGACCAAAGCCTTGCAGGCCCTACTATATAATGTATATATATATATACAAAGTGTAACTGTATTAATTATGATGTGTCATCACATTGTTTGGTTTCCACCCTGGGGAACAGAGCTGATGGACTCTTTTGAGATGTTATTTTACAGCGTTAAACAGCTGCTTGAGGGGAAACCTCCAGCAGGTTGGCCCACTTCCAAGCTTTTCTTGGTGGATGAGTTGTGGGGAGGCAGCAAGGACTGCCTGGGCTTTGTCAACAGGGCATCAATCCTCCTCGTGGCTGTTTTCAACGATGAGCATTCTGCTGTGCAATGGGAATGCAAAGAAGCTTGATGGTCTTGCATGTGTGTTGCCATTGGTTTCCTACGATTTCAGAAAAGCCGACGGTTTCACCGTACTTGGATGCTCATACATGCTGATCATGATCAGAGTTCATGGTCAACCTCCCAGTCAAGCAGATATGGCGCAATCGCCAGGATCTGGGGCTGTTGTTGAGGCCACAGACCAGACAAGCCTGCAGCCAGCCGAATCTTGACAGGCCGAGCGTGTGGGAAATCCATTGGCTGTGAGAACCGGGAGTTGGAAAGGGTCGGAGGTTTAGGGATCTGGACTTGCGTAGGCAAGCGAACGGGTGTAAGATTCATTAGTTTTCCCTGGCCCTCAAACGCTCTCCAAGATGTTTGGACGGGCAAGTTTGTGATCTCTCCTTCTGCCGCCCGCCAGATGGAAGAGGATGGCCGCGGAGCGTTGACAGCGATGAACTCCGATGAATGGCGGACGCCTGTGTATAGTATAGGCCAGATGTGGTGGCTTTGCCTCGAATGAATCATGAACCCCGACACGCCAAACTCGCTGAATAGACTCTCAGTTTTTTGGCGAAGGTTCAGTAATCAAGGCAATGTTCAGGGGATTTCAGGAAAATCTTGAGGCCCATAGCTCCCGTCAAACACTTTGGCTTCGCATGTGTGACTGACAGCTCAAATCCACTGTTTCAACTCCGATGGGGCCAATTTGGGGTGAACACATCAAGGCAGGCGTTGGCCCGTGGACCGGATCTGTGCCAAGCACGAGCTGGTAATGCATGCCTAGTAGGAGAATCTTTTCAACTGTGCTAAAGAATGCGAAGGGCGCCAAATGTGGACTTCTGACCCTGGTTCAAGTGCTAGCCTCCTTTCAATTGGCGCAGAAAGAGCTTGGGCTGATGGTTTTTGCTCCAGTGTGGCCCCATCGCTGGCGAGCCTGGAAAGGAGAGCCATTTTCAAAGGACTTGTGGCAACTCGCCATGAGAAATATCTGGAGAAGCTGCCGTAAGGCAAAAGGGGAGGAATTCAAGCTGTTCAATCAGGACACATGTTGCCGCTTCCTGTCGAAGAGTGCAAACTCTTACTTCACAGACGAGGGAAGTAGGCTCGGCGTCCCAAAACATAATACAACTGAATGCATGGATCGGGATTGGAGATGCATCCATTCAACAAGTCGGTTGCGATCAAGCCTTTTTCTGGTTTTTGTTTGGCGCCCCCATCTCTCTCTCTCTCTCTCTCTTTCTTTGTTGTTTTGGGGGTTATATATGGATCCGGCTGTCTTCCTCGATACAGGAACTAGCGGTCGCATAGAAACTCTTGTTCTTACCCATGCCCGGAGGGATTTGTTCTTCGAGGAGGGGGGTCTACTTCCAGCCTGAGCTCACGTGACCCCGTCGAGCCAGTCGACCAGTTCGAAGGAGTGACGGGAGGCGTCTCAACCCGCAAGAGAAACCAACCAGCTTCTTTGGTTCGTGACGACCTTGGAGTTCCCAAGTGACTTTTTGCGGACCTGTTTGTGACCCTCCAAGCAAAGGCTTGAAGTTCCCAAGTTCGGTCGAACCAGGAAATGTCACCGGCCTTCATTGCCTTTGGCTTCGACTTCACACCCCAGTTCCTTCTCTCCATATGTGCAACCAACAACTCAAGTGCCAAGGGATGCCAACTCGGTGGATGTCAATCCTCAGATCCGTTAGACCACGGATTCCCCTTGAAAAAAACGCTGCGGCCGTTGGCGTGAGCTGCACGCGCGTCCTGCACGCCCAGGTGCAGGGCCTTTCCAACAGCATTTGGTGCTTCGCCAAGGTGGCTCCAAAGTCTGGACGTTCGGCACGCCGTCCCGGGTGTACGGGAAGAGAGATTGACATGGAACCTGAACATATCTGAAAACACCCTCCGTGACTGGAAGACTCTAAGACGAAGTTCCGAATACCAACCCAGTAGTTAGTTGGCAGGGTCCATGATTAATCTTCCAGGGCGTTGGTTTATTGTCCCAGAGGGGATCAGAGGAGAGTGAAAAAAATGAGCAGTTGAGTAGTCAACTCGGTTTTTGGTGGTTGGTGTGTCAATTTGGGAGATGTTCCTTTTGTCGACCTTTTTTGTTGTGTTTTCAGGTAGGTCATTAGGTTGACAGGTTGGGTCGATGTCCACAGATGGGGGTCGCGCATTTTGTTTTTGCTGTGTTGAACAGTTTGGCAAGAGCTGGATGTGGTCAAAGAAGTACGGAACCGTTTGTTGAGATGATTTGAAATGCAAGGGGGCCGGTCAATTACCCACCCCATTCCCATGTTCTTGAATGTTCACATCCATATCTTTGGTATGTTTGAAACGTTTGAGTCTATAATATGGTGCATACTAGTTTCATGACTTTGCTGAAGTTTCTAGACCAACCAATGATCATCCACGGTCGCTGGAAACCTCCAAGAAACTTTCAATACGAAAGAAGTCCTGCATTCTGGAATGGTGTTGGAGACTGACACAGACCCTAAGCCCAGATTCTTGCCAAGCGACTAGTGAACCCCCTATTCCATTCCGCTAGTACCCGCTACAGGCGCTACAGATTTTCACGAATCACAGCCGTGCCCAGTCCGAGTGGGTGCTTCACCTCTGGAAACGCCCGCGGGGCATGCTCCACCTCTCCACATGTTTACTCGCCTTCCTTCTCTATGCTATCACTATCACTATCACCATCCTTGTGTCATGGTGAAAATGACTCCTTCCGAAGCATCCTCGCGCCTCCCAACTTCGTGCTTTCGCGACCCTTTCGACCCGGAAGACCCGCGGATCGCGCCGACCGGGGAGGTCCTCTTCCGCGAGGAGAGTACTTGTGCGGCGATCGCGCCGGGGTCACCAAGTTGCGAGCCAGTTGGACAGCAGGAGAGGTGCAGATGATTATGGTAAAGCCGCCAACAGGCGACCGCTTTGAGGAAATTTTCCAGTGATTCGGTGAGGTTCTGTGTGACATTACAGTGTCATTGCAGTATATTGTAGGTTCTTGTGGTTGGGGGTTGGAGAGCCAGAGTGAGGGAATCATTTGAGCGGCGATCCAACCATCCCTGGCCACAAGTTGGGGATGAGAAACTCCTGCATGGTTTGGCATGTTTTGACAGGGACTTGCAGCAAACCCTGAACACTATATCCACATTCCATCGCATTCCCATATGATCCCATATCCACCTGGACAGACACCAGCACCGACCTCAGACAGCGCGGCTTAGGTCAGCGGCCATGGCGAAAGCCTGTGAGTTGACCTCCCAAGAGATGGGGTGAGCTGATCCCGGGCGGCAGGGGTGGGGTCAGCTGGTCTGATGCGTTTGATTGAGCCACTTTGGTTCCGCAGGTTCCATTTATGATCATTTATGACACGTGAGGCACGCTGTGACCACTATATGCTTATGGAAGTGCTTATGGGTTTGTGGACGTATGGGGATGAAAAGAAGGATCCAACGGAACCCAACGCATTTGAAGACTACTTCTTCTTCTTCTCCTCATGGCATTGAAACGCTTGAGCTCGCGGCGATGATGAATCCAAGCACAAATCGTTCGTTTTGAAAAGCTGACTGAGATTTGGCCCTAATGTTATACTGCATCGGTTTCTCACATGTTTGTCATTTGTAGCGGCCCAAGCCCTAGCGTTAGAGGATAAATGACTACAGCTAGTATGAGATCCTGTGGAACAGCGGGCTTGATGTTCTTAGTCGTAGCCATCTTGCCAACCCCTGTAGCCCATGTCCCAGCGCCGAAAAACACACCGTCAGAATTCCTGCGGAGGCCCTCCCGTAAAGATAGGAATCCAAAACAGGGATGACGGATGAATGCACTGAAGCACTGATCTTGGGTGGTGCACTTCGGGGTTCCGGGGTCGATGCCTTGCAGGAACACTTCCTGGGCCTTTGCACGTTTGCTCATCGTCCATCAGCAGCTCGTTTGGGGGCCCAGAAATGGCAATGGCCAGTTGTGGAAGCACCTCCCAGGTGGTGTTTACTATGTTTTAATCGTTTTTCCTTGAAACTCCGTTTGAGAGGTGCTACCGGTGCTACTACAGTATATTGTGTTTTCTAAGAAGCCTCTTGGGAAGACATGATCTCGAAGGTGGCGCCGGATTTCGACACATCCTACTGCAACATGTCGCTATGTGTACCCCTACCCGGAACTTCGGAACCTCCGCCGATCCCCAGTCGATATGCTCAGTTGGAAGTGATTGCAAGTCAGGCAGTCGGAGCCCCAGAGGAGGTCCAAACACATGTCGGACCAAAATCTTTCAAGATTGGCTGGGCTCATGAACATGTTGTAGTGATTTGCAGGAAGCTTTCTCAGTAAGGACGGCCAAAATCATTTAGAGCCTACGACCAAGTCTTAATCCAGGGTGGGCGCAGCGAAACACTAAGTTTATTAGCTTGCAAGTCCCTATGCTCTATTCTGAGGCGAACCTTTTCAGACCATGTTAGGATCCATCCTTTGGATCCAGATGCGCTAGCCACAAGCAACATCAAGCCGGTCCAGCTACACACGGCTCTTTCTTTGGCTATCAGGTTCCTGGGGTGTTGCCAGCTAGAACCACTGGACCACTTGCTACAACCAAGTAATTATGTCATACAGCCTGTCAGCCCTGATCCTGTTATGTTGATCAGCTTACTTGCGCAAACGCAAGCAAGAACAACAACTGCACTGCATTCATGGAAAGTGGGTTGGGATAAGAACTAGAGCTAAACTCAGTGAACATGTGTGAGCTAAGCACCCGTTTTTTCTTTTTTGCTCGGGTACCCATCCTTTCTCCTTCAGCCCCCCAGCTTGTGTCCAACACCGGCCTGGCCCTTTTGCCTCTGCAGCTGTTTAAGCCCTGTGCGACGTGACCCGCACGTCGAGCGTGACGCGGCATTAGCCGATGCGTCCGTCCTTCAGGTGGCGCGGTCAGTAGCTCATGCAGCCCATGCAGCCTTACTTTAGCCAATCAGGTGTGAACGTCACGACCGGTTATGCCTTGGGCTCTCAGCCTGCAGCATCTCTGAAGCAGTTTGGGGTCTGCGATCCTGAAGCGTACCGATACCTACAGAATACCATACAATATCAATATCTTCTGGAAATTGCAAGAAGCTAAGCAGGGAACGACTGCTCAAATCTGTGGCCTTGTCCTTTTCCAGACGTCCCTCGGCGGATCGGCGAGGGAACCCGCGTTCCTCCGCTCCACTGCAAATCCCAGGCACCACCGCCGGTCTATGTGTATCAGGCGAACATGGGGCGGGGATCTCGGCGGGCTCAACGTTGTGGTGCCAAGACAAGAGAATGGAGGGATGAGCATGTGGATGACTCCCAAATAGGATCATGCATCCAGAAGGACTGCGATTTCTCGTATCTCATACAGTGTCTCATCATTAAGACTCGATTTCACCATGTCCATCACAGAATCCCGTGTCGAGATTCCTACCGATGCGGACGAATTCGGTTGATCACA